GATCATGCCCTCTCCTCCTCCACTTTTTCACTCCTGTACACAGCAACTTTCGGGGTCCTGCTTCTCTCTTTCTCTACCTGAATTTCCTTGCTGCTGAGGTTTAAATTAATTTCCCTTGTTTCATTCTCAGCAAGGGTAGTAGCTGGTTATAAATTATCCTTCTTGAGGCCTGGAACTAAATCGTTCATCAATTACTCTTCTCTTCTCCAGGCTATAACTCATTGCCATTTTTCCCAATGTTTGAAACTCATCACTGTTCTCATCTGATCCTTCCAAGCCTCTGACAATACTCCCACCTACCTCAGTTCTGAGTTTTTGTCACCTTAGTCTCCTCTTTTCAATGCTGTGGGTTCACTGTAAATTTCTGGAAATTTGATTACCCAGCTCATGAACTGTCATAGTATTTTGTTCATTTTCGCTTGATTTCCTAGAACTAAATATCTGCGTTTTAATCTAGTCACAACTTAATACCCTGAATGAGAATGTTCAGAATTGGCCAAAAAAGAGACTCAAACCAGTCTATTTTGAACTCATTAGAAGCTTTGGTGGGTATGGATGGACACCCATGACTCAGAGTAGTTCACGGATTCACTGTGGTTTGTTCCAAAATGCATGCCTTCTTCAGTTATGCAAAACAGAGCTGTAGAAACTCCAGTTGTTCTGTTTTGGTGATAAAACATTTACATTTATTTTTATCCACAAGAATTATTCAAGAAGGAATCTCACTGTGGATCCATGTCATGTGGATGCTCCCTTCTATAGAACCATTAACCACACCAAGACACCCAGCTTAAACTGGCCAGCTGACAGAACTTCCTTCTAGAGAGCAAACATATCAATAACTTCCTGAGATATCACCACAATATCCTCTAGATGTCACCTTGAGAACATTCCAGAATGGAAGATGACTGCTTCTGTATCACACAGACAGCTTGAAATAGACACATTTAAAACTTAGAAAGCCTGGGTCAATAGCCTGATTTTTTTAAAGTGGGTTTTTTTGGTTTGTTTTTTTGTTTTTGCCAACTGCCTCAAAGATTAAGTACCACTCCAAACTAAGTTCATAATGACTTAATTTCCCTTTCTGGTAGATTTTCTTTTTTTCCCACCCATAGAAATAAAAACTAAAACCTTCCTTTAAGATGTAGTTCTCAGAAATTTCTCGTGAATCTTTCTCCCCATGTCCTTCTTCCCCCAAAACATTTTCCAATTTCTGAGGGTGCTCACCTCATTACCTGACGCATCTGAGGGAGAAGAGTGTAGCAAAATTTAAAGGCAGAAATTAGTAATACCTGGACCGTTAAGAGCACTTAATTATGGATGATTACCCAATCAATTGTTTCTCTTTAATATGCCAAGTCTACAGCAGGCCAATAACTGACTCATTTGGTCATGTAGTTCATTCAAAGTAAATGAGCTGTCAGGTAATTCCTTAAGGATTTTAACACCTGAGTGCATTAAATCAATCTGGAGACCAGGGAGGAAACAGAGGAAGACTTTTACAAGTGACATCAGGGAAGATCTGGATTATCTCGGGTGTTATTTCCTGTAATACAGACAGACAGCCCAGGGACCTAAATTTTAAAAATCACTAAAAAATTTTCTTGTAAGGAAAGTAGTTTATATTATAGAGAAGGGCTGCAGAGTCAGTCTCAGAGAATTTCTATGGGACTCTTTTTTTTTTAATACTTTTTTTGCCTTTTAACACTTTATTTATTTATTTGGGGGATAATTAGGTTTATTTATTTATTTTTAATGGAGGTACTGGATGGAACCCAGGACCCTGTGCGTGCTAAGCACTCACTCTTACCACTGAGCTATACCGTCCTGCCTAAGGGGATCTTTTCGAACAACCAAACTTACCCCCACAGATAAGAGGGTCTGAGAGACAAAGAAGCAGAGAGCTTAAGCACAGACCTGGGGAGTAAGACCTCACCAACTCACAGTACTGAAATTGCCAGGACTCGACACCAACTGAAGACAGTCACTAACAATCCCCACGGCTGTCCCATCAGTCTCCCCTGGACTACGTGGCAGTGATTCACAAGTGCTCCTTGACTATGACAGGGTAACCTCCAGGGCTGTGTGTGCATGCTGACAACTGCCAGAGGCAGGGCAGAGGAAGACAACGTGTGCTCGAGTTCTTTAAAAATATCCTTCGTTCTGGGCATTCCACCGGAATGAGAAATTATTCCCAAATAAAAACACAGCTTTCTTTGGAGTTCTCTACTCTTGTTCTAAGGAAAAAGAAAGTGGGAAGAGATACTCTATTAATCTTAAAATAAGGATACAAGCTGCGAGCACCTTCTTTCAGGGCCAATTGTCAGCTTCCTTTCCAAAATATACATAAAGATAATTTTAAAATAGGGGAGAGACCTTAGTTACGCAATCCCCCAAATTATACTTTTCAGGAAATATTAGCAATTACATATGTGTTGATATGGAAAAATGACATGTTAAGCAAAATTCCATAAAAGGAACAAATAAGCTCAATACTTCGAAACATGTTTACAAATGAGAGAGATACTGTCACCTTTTCAAATGTTGCCAGGTGAAGTGTGAAGAGCAGCAATTCTAAAGTCTCAAAATTGAAATTTAACTGTTTCCCCCTGGAATATTTAGATTTTAAATAATAAAATTACATTTAATAAGAAATTTACAAAGAATCACATACAGGGTGTTCTAGATCTTGACTTTGTACACAAAGGTTAGAATACTGATTCTCAGAAATACTTCAGGTCTTTTTTTTTCTATCATAATTTTTTACTGGTAATGATGGTTTCTCACTTTTATCTGACCCCTCTCTTGCCCAATGATAAGATTACAAATATGCAGTTACATACAATTATTAATTAATAATTATGTACAAGGCACTAAAGAGAATTGGTCCCCAACCAAGAAGAGGAATAAGTCATTTATAAAGCGATTATCCATCATTTTTTAAAAAACTTAAACCAACAACCATCTCTTTGCTCTCAAGATCCAAATACAAAACAGAAACTAAACAAAGTTTTTCAGTACATGTTTTGTTCTAAAACTGTCTACTAGAAAAGATAAGAAATAAGGGAGAAATGAACACAGGTGACTCCCAGGACTAATCTTATATTCACACTCTACTTATCATCCTCTGACAGAGAATCCCTTAGGGTTCAGGCACCCAAAGCAGGTTAGATAAATGGCTCTTTCTAAACCAGGACGAGGGTGAGGAGCTGCCTCTTTGGTGTTCAAAGTGAGCCTCCACATCTGTCTAACAGGCCAGCTCACTCCCCTTCCCCGAGGAGCTAAAACCAGTCCTGCCAGTCTCACCGATGTAACTGAAACAGCAGGAGGTTTATGGGATGGCCCACATTAGCTCAGAGCTCACGTACGCTATACACTTTTTTGTCTACGGAGTCAAAAGGACAGGTCAAGGAAGAAAATCCAGATGCGACCAAGAATCAAGACCAGGTATGGTTAACCATGCCATACCGCCAGGTATGGTCAAAGAGCAGAGAAGGGACTCAAAATTAAAACAGGTCAACACAAGCACATTAAAGACATTCAGCAGGACAAAAATCATCTCACAATTCTAAAGGCACCCTTGACGTTTAATCCAATACCAAGGAAGCCCATAGAAGCAGTTTGTGAAGCAACGCTGAGACTCACGTCTGTTGGGCTCGAGGCTCAAAGCTCTCCCTGCAGAAAACCACCTGCATGAACAGGTAAGGCCTTTGCCTGAATCACAGCAAAGCAGGGACTGTGACATTAACCTTGTACTACTTGGGAAACATTTCATTCACAAGGTTTGTTGTCACCAGGAGGGAAAAGTATTTCAAATGGAAGGCAGTGACCCTGTAAGGGTCATCATCAATCACCTGGGGTCAAAGACCTTCTCAATTATAAGAAGAGGCAGGGGGTGAGGGAAAGAGGACAGAGCGAAGATCAAAAGGCCTTTGATGAAGGTTATCTACCTGCACAAAAGACCCTGCAAAACGGAGCTTCTCTGGTGTTTGAAACCTTCTAGTTTTTAAGGTGAGAGATTTCAAGAGGGGTCTGTTTTTTTGTTTTGTTTTTTAACTTGGGTGCTTAACATGAGGATTGGAGTCAGCAGATGGCAGAAGAGGCCTACATGGCTGCCAGTTTCAAGGTCTGTCTCTGCAGAGTCCTAAATAGTCTTTTCTTCTAGAGCAAGGACTGGTGGGGGAAGGAGGGAAGACCCCGCCAGCTTTGCAGCTGCCAAATGGCAAAGTGGCTCAGCTTGAACTGCCTTGCAATACTGGATTTTAGCTGCTGCCAGTACACTTAACTTCCTTCCTCTTTGTAGGAGGCAATCACAGAGGAGGCTGGGAAGTTAAGCCACATCTCTGTAGGCCAGTGCCAGTGGTCAAGCAGTCAGGGTCTGTGGGATCCTTTCTATTTGTGATGACACACTTTCGGCCACTGTTCTTTTTGTTTAATACGCTGTAGATGATTAAAGGAGCAGCTGGATGGAGAAGGACTACCTGGCTAGAGTGGTATGGGAATCAGCTCCATCGGGTACAGAGGCAGAGGGAGCGATGGGGCAACTTTAACTCAGAAAGAGGCAGCGAAGTAGGGCTCCACTGGACTCTTGGCTACCCACTTGGTAGACGTTTCTGTGATATATTCAAGGAGAATCATTGGTCCCAAGTAGGCTTTCTCCTGACCCCTCAGACGCCTTTCCCTGTTAGCTGGTGAGTGGAGTTAATCCACGAACACAAACAATGTGAGCCTTTTGAAAATGCACTGAAGGTGTTTATAAAAATAATTATTTTAAGAAATAAAACATACTGCAGAGCAATATAAATGGCTTTTAGGTGATGGGCTGTTTTGATTAGCCATGCCCCAGGTGCCTCCAGCCTACGCCCATTAGCATGGATAATCAAGAATCTGCTATATTTCCATTTTAACGCAATCTCTCTAATACATTTCAGGCATTCACATGGAAAATCAAACCTCTGACTACCATTTCACCTTATGTGAATTTAGCACACGGCACGAACCTCTGTACAGTCCAAAGAAGCCTTCATAGCGTAGTACTTTCTTGAAACAGTCAAAGCTGTTCTTATACATGAGTTCTCCCACGAAGGAGCCAGTTGATCGTTGGTTCTGCATTCGAGTTTTCACCAGATCGATAGGATATACAGCAGTGGCTCCTACAGCTGAAATCAAATAATACCAGTATTCCAGAATGAATTAAGATTAGAGGAAAGGGGAAGGTGGTTAAAGTCAGAGACCAATAAAAGGAGGAAACAAACTTTGTATATATTGATTTTAAAACTGTACTAAATAAATAAATAATTATATATTTTCATTCAAGTGTCTCCTGATAAAAGGATATCATAGACAGTTTCAGTTTAAAAAAAGCACATCGCTACAGTCTAACCTTATTAGTCATCTGTCTACAGAAAGCCTATCTGCAGATAAAGAAGAGAAGAAGCCACTTCTGAGTCCCTGATCCCATGCAGGTATGAGGAAAAAGTTCCCTTTGCTCTTATCCCATCACGTGGATACAGACTGGCGACTGGCTTGGGGAAAAGTCAGAGGAGGTTTTGTCCTTCAGTACTTCAAGGTGGAAAATCAGAGGAAGAAGGAAGAAGAATAATAACAATGAAAAATTTGCACTCAGCCATGACTAACCTCCAGCAACAGAACCCAGACCAAACCTGTAGGCCGACTCTGCGATCTGCAGGAGAATCGGTCGAGATGAATCGGCTGAGGCCTTCTTCTTTGCAGGCACAGGAATTAGAGAGTGACGAGACAGAAAGGAAGATAGAATAAAATGAGCACACAGCATTCAAAACGAAAAAAAATTACATCTGGGTTCTGAACCCATGATACAACTAAAATGCCAAAGAAGAATGTATGGTTAGATTTTGTAAGTTCTTATTAATGAAAAGTTACTACTGCTGCTAATTTTTAAAAAATCAAATTTGAACATAATGAAAGTCATTATGTGCCCCCCCCCAATGCTATGAACCCATTTTCAAATGTTTAATTCTCATTAGCAATCAAAGAGACACAAATTTAAAAACTCTGAGATACCATTCTTCATCAAATTCTCACATTGGTAGGTTTTGGGGTTTTTCTTTGTTTTTCACTGGCAATACCCTGCCTGGCAAAAGATGATAAAAACAGAACTTCTCAAACCTGCCATTTAATCAAGGGCACACTGAAGGGAAACTTGGTAATAGACACCCAAACCCTTAAAATGTACATGAACTTTGACCCTGCAATTCTATATGTAAAGAGTTAGGCTAGAAAAGGGTCCTGTAATGTAAACAAGGATCAAGCTTACAAGAATGTTAAAAAGCAGTGCTGTTTTAAGGGCAAAATCTCTGAGAACAACTATGTCCAGCAATGGGGGACTGGTTATAAATAATGCTACAGCCTGAAAACAAAATTGATAAAATAATTTTGTAAAAGATTATTTGCTGTTGAGAAAAAGTGTTCACAAGGTATCATAAAAGTGAGAACAAGCTAAGAAAGAACATGGTGAGTAGGTAAGTATTCATGGTATGATTCTCTTTACCTTCACAAATGTCTGAAATATTTCATAATAATCCTTCAAAAACAGTGTTAAAGACTGTGTGTGAATATGCTATTTTTATTAAAATTACCTTTGAGTATGTATATGCATATAAAAATAACACTAACATTTTGGCTATTCCATCACCCAGAGGTATTCCAAATGTTTACAGCGGCTGCAACTAAGCGGCTGTATTACAGGTGAGTGATACTTTTTTCTCGTTTTTGTCCATTTTTTTTTATAAATTCACACTTCAGGCAAGTCAGTTGTTGTCATTTTACTGTTCTTTTGACCTATTATTCTTACAGTGTTTTTGATGCCAGAACATTTCAGAGTATTTCATTTCTCTGTCTACATAAATAAAACAGTAAGCTTGTGTTACATAGAATTGTCAAATGAGGGTGGCATGTAGTTAGTGCTTAATAAATACTCTTCGAATAAGTAAATACAGTCAATGAAATGTTTTTTCAAAAGCCACAATAATTAAGATCGATGAACAATGAAAATAATTACCAACCCTAGCTATCAACCCACTGAATTTTAGTTGTTGTCAATGAAACACAATTCTAATACAATGAGAATTTGGTATCTCCTTCAAAGTCATTCAACTGAAAATAGCTTTACATAGAAATACGCATCTCTAAGGAAGTAAAACCTTTCTTCTGAAGATTCCACTGGGTGCTTCCAACTCTATCCTTGTACAGATGGAAATTAATAGTAACTTCATTCTGACAGCTGCATCCATAAAAAAAGGCACTGTTTTGTTTATGTAAATATAAACATGCAGTACTTACAAAGGTTCTGGCATCACAATAATGAGTGAAAATATTTTGAAAATAATGAGTTGGGGTGTGGTGAGGAACCTACCACTAACACTAATCCATCTAAAAACAAAGTAAATGAAATCCCAGACTTTAACTTTTCTGAAGCTAGAAATGTAGCATGCTCATGAAATGAGACAAGAAAGATTCCTCCTTCTGCACTCCTCTGGTGAGGATAAATGTTAGCACTGAGCCGACCAGGTAGATGACCTCCATTGCTTGAGTCTGTTGATGTTGCCAGGCCCACTGGGGTTCACACAGTAAAGAATATTCCAGGCAAGGCCACTGTGAATTGCTCTAAACCTTTAAGCAGCAGCCAATCATTTCCTGCTGTAAATTTCATCAATCTCGCCTAACCCTTTCGTGGCCAAGACCAACAAGCACCCACCATCATAAATTCTCAATAGCTGCAGAGCGCATGAAGGAAAGTTTGTGGGATACCACTGCCAGCTGGAGAACAGGAGGAATCTAAAAATAAATGAAAAACAAAAAAAAACTTCTCTGCTTTTTCCTAGACCCTAAATTTCTCCAAAAGCTAACAGCACGGAGACCAAGAGATAACCATCTGGTAAGCAGGGTTTCAGAAGCAAAGGGCGTTGCAGAGCGGAGTTGCTGCCCGCTCTGCACGTGATTACACAGTCCTCCCTTCTGCACTCGGGGAATCGGCTTCTTCTTTTAACGACGGCCAGCTGGTTTTCCAGAGGTGCCTGGTTTAGGATTTACTGAGCACACACCCACCACTCTGAGTTACACGCTGCACACAAAACTCGCCACTGCGATCGGGTGGGAAAGAGCTGAAAGGAGGGTGTCCTGGCTCGAGGCCTGCCAGTCCTAAAAATGTAGCCTGCACCGACCCATTGTGGTCAAACTGGCGTCTCTGTACAGACCCAGAGCTCCGAGCCAAAAACTGTTAAGTCTCACAGGATTCAGGGATGGCTTTGCCTTAAAGGAGGTATTTTTCTAAAGTGACGCTTGTCTGTGAGTGGATTTATTTTACAAACACCACGTAAGCACAACGCATGCTCTGAAGGCTTTTATTCCCTAATCCTGATCTACAGAAAGTAGAGCAAGAGTTAAATGTAAGGAGGCCCCACATCGTAGGTTTCTGACTCCCACAACTTCAAGAGATCGGTTTCTGTTAACCATAAAATAAAATCTAGCATTCCTCAAATTGTTTCCACATAACTTATGAATCCTTGCACAAAGAAAATAGGTCTAAAAGCCTGCAAACTATGACTCCAGACTAAACAAAATTATCTCATTTTGATATTCAGAAAACGGAAGGCATGGAAGTTAGGCGACGCTCTGGTGAGCGCCTCTCTGAGGGGCAGGGCCAGCTAGGGACCCAGACACCCAGAGGAACTCCAGCCCTGACTCTCCCAGCAGGAGACTCAGGGAAGAAGGAAAGATCTTCCACCTCCACTGGGGGGACCAGGCTTCGAATGCCCTTAAGAAATCACCCCCTCTTCCAAAGAAAAATCCCAGTGCCAGTTATCAGTTCATCAGATCATCTCTAAGTAATGTCTCTTCACAGCCTTTTGAAATGGTCTGGATTTTTCAGTGCAAAACAGAGAAATGGAAAGTCAGAGACCAGGGCTGTAAAGGCAACTACAAGTAAAGAGGGGTCGGGGACCCTATGAAAAGAATGGGGCAGCGAGCGTGCTCCTGGTGCCCACCTGCCTCTGGGCCTCAGCCAAGTTGAAGGGCTCCTCTTCGAGAGGAGCAATTCGTTCAATGTCAGCTAAGGTCATCCGCCTAGAAGGAAAAGCAAACACAAACAACAACAAAATTCAAATTCATTAAAATTTATATTACGGAATTTTAAAATCCTCCGTTTCTTGTTTCCCGTATTTCAGAGTTACCTTTAATTTGGCTTCTTTTTCGCCAGGTTTGCTGCCCTCCTCCTACCCCAGTCCCCTAACTTTCTTTATTAAGCTAATTTAAAAAAAAAAAAAAAAGGCCAACTTACCCCCGTGGCTCATATAAATCTGCTAACTGAAACAAGATGTCAACTTCCATGGGTGTAACCTGACCAAATTTCTGAGCTGCCAGAACAAACTCCTCTGTATGGAAAAAGAGTTAAAAGGGAAATATTCAAGAAGGAATATCCACTAAATGCAGCATTAACTCAAGGCACTGGAATGAGCAAACATCACCAAACTTTATTATCATCAGTCGTAGAATTCAGGTCAATCCAAATAGGGTAAGAATTTTTGCAGTTTTTTTACTCATCTGGAAAAAGTATGCAGAATAGTTTCTCTGATACTGACTTTAAAAGCTTGGTGTCATCTGAAGGCTATGAATAAATGACACAGGATGTTATTCAAACTGCGGGTCAGGGAAAACGAGGAGGAGATAACGAAACTTCATGGGCACAGGTCCCAGGACGTGATATGAATGAAGCTGTGGAATCCCTAAGGGAATTCTCTTTTAAAAAAACTCACTAAAACGCTGTTACCTTGTTCAGAGACTGTAAATTAACAGACACTGTCCCCAGTATAAGTTTATGGAATTCCTTGTGTACTTTTGAAGGCCGCTTTAGAAGCTGCCGATTTAGCTCAGGCTCTAGCAAGATTTGAAAACATTTAAGAAAGTTACATGGTTCCCTCATTCAAAGACTGTCTTGGGTTTATTTAAAATGTGCTAAAGACTGTTTTGTTTGTCTAATCAAAGGATGGAGAACACACATGTACCGTAAGGTTAAGATGCATCAGTGGGATAGAAAAATCTGTAACAAACTCCTGGTTGCCTTCTTCACCCCAATAATATACCAAGGTACCTGCAGGCAAGGATTCAGATGTATTCTCACTCACCCTTAGTCACCTCTACATCTTTCCTGTTGCCAGCCAGAGTGCTGTAGATCTTTCTAATGAGTTCCATGTTGTTAAGGAGCGAGTTAAATCCATTAAAGTAGGAGAAACTAACTTGATGGGACGTGGTACCTCCAGCAGCCTCAAATAAATTGAAAATAAGAGGGGAGAGAAGAAAAATAAACAAAGGGTTTATAGAATGAAGACGATTCAGAAGTACACATATCAAGTGCCAGTTTTGGAAGTAATCAAGAAAACATGTATGGGAAGAAACGGCCATAAGTATTTTTCTTTCACATTAAAATAAAAATCTATAAATGATTTTTAAAAGTAACTGCAACTAATCATGACCAGAACTTGTACTCACCACACACAAGTCCTGGAAAACTAAATAAATACATGTGTAGGATTATAACAACAGGACCAGTAGTAATTTACAGAGTTCAAATTTCAATTGGAAATGTTTTATAAGTTTGTTTATTTCACCTAATGAGCAACTCTTAAAGGCTTAGACACCCGAAACTGTATTATACACATGCACACATGTGTATGCTTATACGTGCAAAACTATTATACCAACACAAGCATACTGTGGCAAGTGGTCAATCTAACATTATTATCATGATTTGTCATGTTCCTTTTAAGTACTAATAAATAATCATTTAAATACAGACTTTACATTGGTAGGATTTCTAACAAACAAGCATATTATGGTAAAATTATGAGATGTCATATGCTTTGATGGGGGTTAAGACTGGTCAGAATTCTGATAATCAGAATTTGTAAGAAACCATATTTCTTCACGGGGACACGGGGGCAACAGACAGCATGTCCATTATGAATGGAAATTCAGTTTGGGGTTTCAAATTCTATCCTTCCCTAACAAGGCAAAATATTTTTATTAGGAAAGCACTTCTTTATAAGGTAACAACCACATAAATCTTCACTTGGTAATCATTTGAAATAGCTGACATGAGCGTTTAGAGTGGCGTAGGGAAGGGAGGCCGAGAAAAGGAGCTAAATGAACACAGTGCCCAAGAGGAAGAGGACTTGTTAGAATGCCACGTCCCCCAAAAGAGGGACTTTGGGGGAGAAAAATGAAAAGTTACCCTGAGTTCTTGCCTACAGTAAGCACTGTGGGGAAGTAGATGACGTGAAAACACTCAAAACATCCTCCCCCTGGGATGAACAAAAGGAGAGTTCCACTGCGTAGGGTCCCAAACTGAGGGACCATCCTGACGATCTCCTAGCAGTTAGGTTCTAGGACCTCACCGCCTGCGGATGGTGACTCAGTGGGCCTGGAAGAGACCTCAGAACCTGTGTTTTCAACAATATCCCTGACGGTGTTTAAGCTCTACGATCAAGGCGTGGGAACCACCACTGCGGCATGTTCCAGGGCACCTCGGGGTCCAGGAGGGAGGACAGTGGCTGGACACCCACTAAGAGGGAAGCTCCACGACACAGGACAGCGGGCTCTGCTCATCACACATGCCACTGTCTCCTCAACACACACATGCTGACTGACTGAGGCAATCTAGGGTTAGCTTCTATTCTGCTGACTACTGGAATTATCTATGTGCACTATTTAAAACAATTTTTTTTTGCCTTGGAGAACGGGTAAAAGCAAAGATCAGCATTTGACTTACTTCAAAATATAAAGCAAAAAAAACAAATAAAAATAAAGCAAATTAATATGAGATAATATCTTTGTTCTTTCTTTTTCAAAAAACTCAGTGAACACATTTCTTTAAGATATGCCGTATTATCCAGATAAATTAACTACTAACTAAAACTGGCAAAGCACACTCTCTAAGCTGGGTAATGTATGCAATCTCATTAAGAAAATAAGAAAATGTTAGTGTTTAAACAGAAAAAGCTCTACAGAATGTGTAAGACTCGTCCTTACAATCCCTTAGTTACTGAGCTTACGCCGGGTAGAATAAACTACTTCATTGGGGCAAGTAACAACTTACAGCTACTAGACATTCTTCTACAAAAGGTGTCAAGACATGAGGGCGGATGGTGACCATGATGTCTCGGAAGTCAATGGCTGTGACTTTTCCTGTCCTGGCATTGTCCCTTTGAACAAAGGCTTGTTTTGCATGCTCCAACTGTATTTCCTACAAATAAAGAAGGTGAAATTATTTATGTTTCTCAATTACTACACATGACAGGTCAGTTTCAAATCAGGGTAAGGAAATACACGTTTATCTTGATTCACTAAGCCCCACACTTGTTCAGCAGCACTCCCAAGCTATTGTCCCCTTCCAAAGAGAGAACTTTGCTCAGATCGGGGAACATGTCTTGAGAAAGTACATTCCACCTTAAATTTCCTACCCAGAGAAACCAAATCACGTCCTGCTCAGCTGGAGTCCAAAGACACAAGGAAAATAAAAACTGGAATGATGTTTGGTAGGCTCAAAGATCTGGCCACACCCTGCCTGGGCGGTGTGATGATCAAAGGAGAAACACCTACAGGGATGTTAACCTCTCTCCAGAGAAGAGAGAGAAAGGCTGAACGGTAACTTGGTTCACAAACACGTGATGTAGCAACAGCTTGAAAAGGGTGGCTCTGCTCTGGAATATGCTGTTCCTCTGCACCACTGGTGTTTTGGGCAGGGTAAGCCTTTGCTATGGGGAGCTGTCCAGTGCATCCCTATCCTCTCTCTTTCCACCAGATGCTGAAGCCACTTTCCTCTGAGGCCACAGCAATCAAGAATGTCTCCAGAGAGGGCTGTGTGTCCTAGTTGAGGACCAATGCTCTAGAACTAGGAATTGGATAGTACCTGGGTCAGAAGTAGCGAAAGTGTGGCATATGTTTTAATTCATACAATCTAAAGACAGGGAGCTCAATCTTAGATGTCTGTTGCTATTCCCAAGGGATAAGTGCATACACAAAATAAAACGTAGCCTCCCATCAAAACCCATCATGTGCCGTGTAGGAGAAACATCCCTTCTGTAGAGTATGTTTTATCATCTTCCTCAAGCCACTCTGCTCATTTCCCAAATGGGCCCCTAGAGTGAGATCTAATCTCTACAAAATTAAAAAGCATCACTGATATGGCTCTCAAGGATTTTTAAATTTAAACAAAAAAATTTTATTAGCTGATACTGAGGAATTAACTATTTTTTAACTTTGGTGATTAAGATAATGACATAGTTTTATCAGAACTAATTGTCCTTATGAAGTAATGCAAACTGAAGTATGGGAGAAATGACATGAGTCTGATATGGCTTTATAGTATGGAAGTCTGATAAAATATTGCTAACAACTGAAACTGGATGACAGGGACATGGTGGTCATGACATTTTTCTATTTTTGTGCAACTTGAAAATGTCTACAATAAAAAATTTTAAAAAGACCAAAAAAAAAAAAGAAGAATCAGAGTTCTTATCCTATTGAAGAGCTTCTTCTCAGTTACAGCATCCGCCAGTTGCGATCCAGCCTACCCCATGGGACTCTCCTCGGGGACTCTAATCTTTCTAGTGCCTCTTCCGCTCACTCCTTAAATGGGAGGCATCTGTCAACCCTCTGTCCTCAGGTCTTCTCACTAGACTCTCCGAGGCAAAGGCCTCCCTCCCCAGGACTTATGATAAGATTTCTTATTAGGCTTTTGACTCTCAGATCCAAGTCTCACACTTCTATCTGCCAGGCCAGAATTTCTAACTGCTTAGAGAATACATCCATGTGGGTATCTGGTAAAGGCCATGAAATTATGCCTCATTAAACCCACCGTCATATGTCCCCTACCCAGTCCTTAAATCTGGTCCCTCTCTTAAGTTCAAAGCTTACTTATTAGCATGTTGTTTTCCTGGTCACCTACCCTGGCAATGTCATTTTCAATTCTTCAAACTTCCTTTCCCCCAGAGTAAACGTTACTAAATTAAGTCACTTGGACCTTTGAAAGTTCACTCAAATGCAGTTTTTCACTCTTGATACTACTGGTCCAGGCCCTGCTCAGCCCATGTCTGAATGACCACCATGGGCCCAACTGTCCTCTCTGACCTCTGCAGTCCACCTTGCACACAGCAACAGCTGCCTTTCAGAATCTCTGGTCTGAACTCAATCTCCCTCTTCAGGAAGCTTTCATCACAAAGACCTGTCTCTGAAGCAGCACACTTAAGCCCCTAATAAGGAGCAGCTCTCAGCCTTGGCTCCAGAACCCCATGTCCAGCCGGGCCAGACCTTCCCCACATTTGGGCCTTGGTCCACGCTCTTCCCACCACCATTTCAGGAGCATAGATGGGTAGCCTCCTTCTCTAGTTCCTGAAACCCTACCACTTCCTCCAGCCTTAACCCAAATGCCACCACTTAGGTAAATATGACCAGGCCTCCAAACTGAAAACAACTGACCTGATCATGTGGCCTCCTGCTTGAACCTCAATGGTAAGACACGTCTTATTCCATCCTACATAGTAATCACTTGTTTACATTCCTGTCTTTCCCCAGCTTGGCCAGGGGAAAGAGACTGTGTCTGCTCACCCTGCTTATGGTGTGGGCGGGATGCTTCAGATATACTAGGCGTGCAATAAACCATGGACCTGCGCATCAGTGACAGGTATTGTATAAAACCACTGAGTGAACAAATCACAATGCAGTCAACAGAAAGGGGTCCCCAGCACAAGTGTCTCCAACTTAAGAGGAAGGAAGGAACCAACTGTTAAACACCCCATAGTGAAAAATGACCACAGCATGCATTCAATTGGAAGTAAATGAACACAGTCTGTTTTGAATTGCCAGACCCACTGCTAGAGCTACCTATCGGAAGCCAAGATTACTCTCAACAACACCAGAGGGTGTGTTCAGTTATTTACCATTTCCCCTAGTTCATAACTAAAATTGTCTTAGGGAGCCTCAGGTCATTATACCGAAAGCAGTTATCACCTTCCCTGGCCACTCCATCCCCTCGGAGAGCAGGGAGCCAGAACACAGAGAGCAACCTGTCCGAAACGTCAAACTGGGAAACGGACACGCACGTGGGGCTGAAGCTCACACCGCAGGGCCAGGACCGAGGGCGCATCCGTCCTGAGGACCGACGACATCACTGGGCACTTCCGTGTGCAATGAAACACTTACGATCAGGGCTCCCGCAATCATGGAACAAGAAAGCACCTTTAAGCCTAATGAAGAACTACTTGAGAACACATTTCCAACAGTTCTTAAAGACTGGGGATATTATAAATTCCCAGAAAAACAGGAAGCTGAAGCCAGACAGTTCTCTAAATAGTAAGATACAGGGAAAACATCTAGTTATGTGTTTCCCTAAACTTACAAGTAGCTTACTGAAGACGGAGGCTCTGAAGAACATCTGTTGACGTCCTGTTTCTTCTTCTGGGTGAAAAAATGAAAACTATTACCGCAACCGATAGAACGACCAGGATAACAGCATTGAGTGAGCATGCATTACATGCCAGACACTGCTCTAAAGTACTTCACAGTAAAAACTCATTTAATGCTCACAGCAACGCTAGAAGGCAGGCGCCACTATTGCCCTCACTGCACCAATTGAGGAAACCAAGGTCTCACTGACCAGCAGCAGCAAAGCTGGAACACAAACGCAGGCGGGCCCGCCCCGCTCCTAACACCTCACTAGCCTGTATGGATAATGGCACTGCCAGCAATTTGATTACAAAACATATCTGACACAGGCATCTTCAGAGCTATGAAAAGATAAACACCCAATCTGTTTTTAAATTATTCCAATGCCTGAAATTTTTATGGTGCCTATTTTCATGAGAAAACAATAAAATTCCTGAAGCTTTTTCATTAAGGCAAAGGTCTCTGATGTGCTCTCCAGCACCAGGAGTGTTCCCCCAACAACAGCAGACACCATGGAGGAGAGAAACCAAATCAGAAAGGCTTTCTCCTCGCCTTATTCACAACCCCAAGAGACCAAGGAGGGAGCAAGACCCGTAAGGAGGTCTGGGGAGCTAACACACAGGCATTCTGAAAATACTTAATTTGAGAATGAATGATCTTTGAAATAAATATCCAGGCTCACTACTTACAGCAGAGCGACTTAAAATCAAAGCTTCACATGGGCACCCCTAAAGCTGTCTAAGGAAGACCTAACCCATACTTAGGGCTACAAAGACCCTGAAGGTTCCTAGATCTGAACCCAGAGGGATTAACTGAGACAGAGAGCTCCTGGGATGCGTGGTGTAGAGCAAACGTAAGTTAATGTTCATTTGCAAAGTGCAAGGGACCAAAATGGATAAATCTGTCCTATGTGTCGGGGCAGGGAGGAACGATGGGAGACAACAGCTACATTCAAATATCTGAAGGTTTAAAGGACTATCAGGTAAAAAAGAAGTCAGACCAGCTCTCTGTACTTCTTAAAAAAGAAAAAACAGAACAAAACAAAACAATGGAGAGAAAATAGAGGGACTGTGCTTTAGCACAAAACACGTACATATTTAGCCTGCACAGCTATTCAGCAATGAGATGGGCGGCTCCCTTGCAAAGGAGCAGGTTCCCAGTCACTGGAGATATCTATTCAACTGCAAGCTGAGAAATACGTTTCAAGGAATTTATTTTACTTATTTTAATGCAGGGCTTATGGAAGCAATATGTTATGATGACAAAAATCTCAAGTTTGGAACCAGAATGGGCAGAGCTCAAATATCAGCCCTGACCCTCCTAGCCGGGAGGGCTTAAGGAAGGGGGTTTGTATCTCAGAGCCCCAGCAACACCTTACTGTACAGGCTGGTAAACACTAGGTGTCATGTACGACATGCACTTAACAAAAAGGAGCTTTGATTTTTGTCGAGGTGAATGATTTAAAACCCTCTAAAGTCCCTTCCAATATAAGTTCTTTGGAGTCTTTCAAAGAAACAAAAAAATCACCTAGTTAGGAATAGTAATTCAGCAGTCATTTTGAACCAGCCACAGGAACAGAGTGACGGAGACCAGACAGGGTGGAGGGAGACAGTGCCAGCTGGAACACTTCCGACAGGCCTGAGGCTACGCCAGGAACTCCCGAGACAGTATTTCACTGAAGCCTCACAATAATTCTCTCAGGTGATAATATCTTCATCTTAGAGGGACCTGAAGCTCAGGGAGGTTAAGTATCTAGTCCAAAGCCACACAGCTAGGATGTGGCAGAGCTGAGATCTCTAT